ATCATCATCAACTTCATCGAATATAAGACGATTATAAATTCTTTTTACTAATTTTCGTTCACCTTTTTGCTCATAAAATAATTTTTTACCTTCTTGTTTCAAATCATTTAATGCAACAATAGGTATGCCAAGATATTTTTGTGTAAGATAAAAATCAACAGCTGTATGTTGCTCATGTGGTTTAACATCCATCAATATGACTTCATCTGGTTGATAAGGTCCAATTATAATTTCTTTAAGTAAATTAATATAACGAGTTTTATCTATTCCATTAAAAAAGACAGACCAATTATCAGGAATATTAAAATTTATACGATAATTATCATCTAAAAAAGCTGCTAAAGCATGTAATGATGGAAATCCTTGTAATTCAATTAATCTTGGTACTAAATTTTCATTTTCATCTTTCCATATTCCAAAATCCATTGTAATTATATGTGGATGAGTATTTTCATTTGGACAACGCCATTTATCTGGAATAGCTTGTTCTGTAATTTGTTTAAAATCAGAACGTAATATAAAATTTATAATATGATCACCAGCAGCAATAAGTATATCACGAAATTCATCTTTAACAAATAATGGTGATTCAGCTAAACGAAAGCCAACAGGCGTTGGTAATTCATTATTTATATCTTTAAGAAATTTTTGATATTTTTCATCAGTAAAATTTAACATATAATTTTTTCTAATATCTTCTACTTCCATTTTATAAATTAAATACTATCTAAAATTATACATACAATTCTACATACTTTTTCTGTTCGGGTAAAACAGTACTTGTCTTAACGTATGTGTTTATAATGATAAATTCTCTCTCTCTTCCAATCATATTTTCGCTTATCTTTTTCTGTTCTTATCATTCTATTCTTTGTTTCTAACATGTATGTATATGACTTCGACGTAATGTGAAAGTTTGAAAAAAGGTTAATAAATAGAACGAATACAAATGGCCGACAGCACGAAGTATTTAAGCATATAAAAAGATTCTTTTTTTTGAATAAGTGAAATGAGAATATAATCGAGAGTAAATATTCTTTACTGATTCAATCCATTATTGTAAATACTGAACAAAGCCTAAAAGATACGATAACTATATGAAAAGAAAGAATAGTCATTCGGCACTTATGACTTTTTAGAATACGTCGATAACCAATCAAAAGATAGCGCTACTAGTTAAAAATTTGTAATGTTCAATATCGGACAAATACAAGTATTTCATTAACTCTCACCCTCATTGTAATTCAATTTTTTATACAACTACACTTCTTTTAATATACTCAATAGTATAAAAACTTTCGAAAGTTACATTTCTATTGTTGATATGATGAATAGAAGATATTCATAATAGGTATTTACCATAAATAAAAACTTATGAAAAAACACAAAAATAGTATTTTGTTTTTTTTTCAAACAATTTTTAAGGTACAGACAGGACGCAACATGATATACTTTTATAAATGAATATTGCATTTAGAGCGTGTTTAATGAATTACTAACGCATACTATTTATTCAAATATATCATACGAAAAGTAAGAATAAAAAAAATTCATTTTAATGGTTATTTTAAAATTCTCAGGAAAAAAATTGCGTGTTTTCAAGTATTCCAAAAAAATCAAAATTATCACATTATTTTAGTTATTTTCATTACAAATTTCAGTGCGGGTGTGGGTGTAGGTGGGTAGAACAAGAAATTGAGACTCACCCAGACCCAGACCCACACCCTTTAACAACAGGATGAATAGGAAGTGATGCACTTTTCAATATATCCAGAGCACGTTCATAATATGAAAGTGCTTTTGAGGGTGAGCGTGTGGGTGTTCGTGCTTATAATCACTCAATTCACACCCACACTCAAATGATAGATGGAATTGATGCCTAGGCAGACAAAACTAAAAAAAACAGAGAAATACGCGTAGAAATTTTGAAATTTTAACGAAAATAGAATCCGAAAGAGCGCACATTTTTACGATTTTTATCTCCGTTAGCGTTGTCTACTGTGATTAACGCGTCGACAATCTATGCTTAACGTGTTAAAACCAGGCCAGCCAAGTGTACCCCATTTTGGGGTATTGTACCCCATTTCGACACTTTGTACCTCAATAAAAAGATGTACCCCAGGGGTACACTTTTTGTACCCCATTTGTATTTTTGAGTTTTTCATATCGTAAACCGATCTTCCTTGTTTTTTCTAAGCCATTACTTCATTGTGTTATGTTATTTTTGTTGTGAAAATCACGAAATAAAGTCCATATCGAATAGATAACAGCAAAATATTATGTTGCTTTTAACGCCCCCTGGGTCAAAAAAGAACGTTTTTTTTCAAAAATATCGATTTTGAGAGTCATTCAGATTTACATAGCCTATCATTTACACTGTCGAATAGTCTATAACTTATCGATTTTGCAGCGGCTTTTGAGGGTTTTACAGTAGGTTTTATGAAAAACCTACATAAAACTTTCTTTTTCGAAACTTTAATTATTGAAGCCATTTGAAGTGTTCTCGAAACTGTTTTTTAATGTTTTATTTGTCAGCGCGACAAAGATTTCTCCACCATTTTGAATGCTAGAGAATCCGGAAAGGTTTTAAAATGAAGGCTAAGCTCAGCGCTACACCCTAACAGAGTCAGAATTTTTGTTTTCCATTTAGTTGTTTATGAAAAAAACCAGTTTTCTGAAAAGTTAACCTCGATATTTTTTCCTCAAAAACCTTGCTAAAAAAACCGGTTCTGTTCGGTTGTAGCTGCAAGGGTGTTTGTACATTTTGACACCATTCCGAGGTCCATATCATTAGAGTTGCGAAAAAAATCTTCGACACACGAACACCTACTTTTAACCCCTTAATATTAGGATAAACCTCGCAAAACTCAATATTATGAGCTCAATTTTTTACCGAAAACTATCCGAACGCCAGATACATATTCAGTAAAAATTTAAGTAAGATTTAGTGCTCCGGAAAAAAAATAGATTTTTGACCAAAGGGGGAGGGCCCTTAAGGAGAATAAGTTTTCAGGTAGTTTTTTTTCACCCAGTTCTTTTCTTTTAAAAAAACTGCGTACCTCAACGGTGCACCCCATTTTAAAAAAATTTGTACCCTAACCGTACCCCATTTGAAATTCGGTGTACCACATTTAGGAGCTAGCACTTGGCAGGCCTGGTTAAAACTCACAAAATAACATGTAAAACCACGTTAAATTCAGCGTTTCGACAAGTAACTAGGGAGTAAGTTTTAACGCAGTAGAACGCTTTCCAAAAAATTGCGTAGTAACGCGTTAAGAATTCGTAGAAACGGCGTTTTTTTAGAGGCTTCATCTGTCTGGGTAGACCAAGAAATTGTATTGTACATTGTGTTACAATTCTATGATACTAAATAAATTCATTATGAAGAAGTCGGAAGTTTTCAATAAAAGTATAGAGAAGAAGACAAACACAAAATAGGTGATTACTCATATGTAAAGAAAAGAATATAACTATTTCTGCTACATATGTGATGAAAGAGAAATATATGTCTAAAATCTCTCTCTCTCATATCTATAAAAACTATGAGATAGAAAGTGGATTCAAAGTTGATTGAAATATTTCAACATCTCTTTTTTCGTGAAATGTACGATAATAAGTATTTATTTATTGAAGATTTGTTTAAAATTTTTCTAAATTTATACAAAAAAATGATAAACAATGAATTGTTTTGTAATTGATTAAAATCAGTTCTCTTTCGAACGAAAAGAAACACGTAATGGTTGACCATTGATGTGATATTGCTGAGCTTGTTCGATGACACTGACAGCTTGTTGAACATTGTCGTAAGTAAGAAATGCATATCTAAAATCCAAATAAAAAAAAAATAAGAATTGAAATTATTTCTGTGAAGTATTTCCATTGAATATTATTTATTCATCAAGTATTCACTTCAATTTGGCGGATTATTTTTCAATGATTTTTTCAATTTTATCAAATTTTTCAACAAGTTGCATCTAATTTATCTACCTACGAAAAAAGACAATTTTCTTTTTTAAAATTTACTCAAATTTTGCTGCTTATTTATCCAATACGATTTCCGAAACCTTTGTCGTTCAATCGTAAAAGAAGAATTTCCTATATTGATATCATTTGTTAATATCGATATTATTTTCAAAAATATTTACATATGTCTATTCTACAATAATCAGTTGAAAACTTTACTAATAGTTACGATACAATATGACCTAAATTATCTACAAAAAAAGATATTGAAAGAGTTCAGTAAAAGGCAATCATTAGTATTATCTACGAAATCAGTCTGCGAAACAAAATCTGTGTGGAATGAATCTCAATGTTTGATCCTTATGAATAAATTCTAATTTGAACTCATACGAAACATTCGTTTCTACTCGATGATTTTTGTCATTTCTTTTCTTATAATACAATTCTTATTTTTTGACAAATCAGTCCCTTTTCACAGTGATGGATTTTATTAAATAGAATTGAATTTAATTCTATTGGTCTATTATTTAACTCGATTTCTCATACACTTGTAATGTATAAGAAATTTTCATTGATAAAATTCTAGAACTTTTTAAATATAGTAGATATGAATAATAATAAGAAATTATAAAAACACTTTCGTATTGTAAAGGACGTATAAAATATACAAAAAATGTTTGTCTTTTACATTTGAAAATAGAAAATAAAATTGAAATATAATTCTTACCCCCATAAAATCTTGATTTTGCCTGTAACATCATTGGAGGTAGGTTTACGATGAATAATCTGTGATGGACAATACTTTGATACACGAGAGTTGGAAAATAAATGACACAAATCATCTTCACTAACATTTTCTGGTATATTTGTAATCACAATTGTTTGTTTATCATCTGATTGATGATCTAGAGGAATACATGAAGAATTACATGCATATTCAACATGACAAAACCCCATCTTTATTCATAGTATATGTTTGAATTATTTTTTAAATCTTATATTAATAATTATATAATAATTTTAAAATTCAATTTTGTTTTTCATTATGTCATATAAGTAGTTTTTGTTGTTTTAATAATTTATCAATTATTTTTTGACGATCTATATCAATAATATATTTTTCTTGATCAGGTTAAACATGTTATTACTGATGACGAATTGAAGGATAAAATGAAGTTTCAGTATCAGTTGAGATAACTATAAGTGAAGTTATTTCATTTAATGAAGAATATAAATATGTTGCAGATTCAATACTTCATATATATTAACATCTGAAGAAGTTTTAACAACAAAGAAGAAACAGCAACTGATCCGGTGGCTGTTTTTTGATGAATGAATCTGAAATAAAAAACAACTTATCATATTTAAAATAAACAGCTAATTCAAGTGGTACGAACTAATAAATAAAAATATTAGGATCTTTCTTTACTTTTTACCATCTTTTCATTTCGTTAAAACCAATCAAAAATTTTAGCTTTTGCTCCATCAGGTGATGCATTTAACATAACAATTGAGCTGTGATAACCCCATTTGTATGTTTCATAATTAATTTTTTGTAAACGAAATGCATCAATAAAGGAATTTCTACAATGAGCAGCTAAAATTCTGAAGAATGGCCGGTTTGAATTTCCAAATTTTAATGGCCATAAATGGCAATCTTTAAATGTATATCTTGTATGAGATACTCGTTGTTTTTTGAGCATATCATCTAATACATATAATAGCAATTGTTCATTTTCAATAATAATTGTTAATGTTTTATTATCAAAAGCAAGTTCAAGTGATTTAGCTAATCTTAATTAATTCCTTGGATCATTTAAACCATCATTTGATAAATTAAACATTGATAATAAATTTTCACCATGTGTATGTTTTGGCCATATATGAGCATTTACAACATCATTACATGGACCACAAATCATACACACATGTTCATCTATATTATAAAACTTGCTCATAACTTGTTTTGATAAGCTGGTATGAGATGAACCTTGTGATCTTGCAGTTATATCCCATGGATCAATTGCTCGTCCAATAGTAGGTTGAACAAGTTCAAAAAGTAAGTTAAGTTTATTTGATACTGAACAAAAAGATTATATGACATATTTTTATAATGTACATTAAGGAGTTGCTGAAAAAACTTACAATTATTGAAGTTGTCATCCATATTTGTTGTTAGATCCTTAAGTTTATCATCAAAATTTGTACTTAAATTTCTAAGCTTTCCATCAAATGTTGATAATAATTGATTAAATTCTGCTCTATTAATATCGTTCGTTGGTGTAAGACTTTTATCTCTTGTTGAAAATACAGAACTAACTTGATCATTTGATTCAGTTAATTTTAGTTCAGCATTAGATGTTGTTCCTAAACAATAAGAAAGAAATTTAGTATTTTACATAAATTCGAAATATTTTTTATTCAGAATTGAGATCAGAATAATACTCATTCTATTTAACTATGAATGCGCATTTACCTTTATAAACTTTCGTAATTTTATAAATATAATGTTTTTCTGGACTAACATCATAATGATCATTGATACAATTAACACTAAATAAAAGAAGGACAAACATTGATTTATATATTTCTTAAATTTATGATAAACTTGCTTAAGAGCTACACTTTGTGATCTTGTATCAAACCATTGTAATCCTATAATATCCGTTTCGAATAATGAACATAATAGTTTATTACTAATGGTATTATTATGTGTAGCAACAAATTCTGTTGTTATTCCATCGGTTACGGACACAAAAGGTATTGTAGCAAGCATTTTATCAATAATTATCTACAAGAAAATGAAATGAATAAAAGAAAAGTTAACTCCGACTGTATTTAAAACAGAACAATAGATTTTTCATATTGTTCTTAAATTTGTTTGTGAAGAACAATAAAATAGTTGTAATTAGAAATAAATACGAAAATAAAAAAATCAGATTGTTAGGATTTATCTTGTTTATTCACGAAGCTGAATAAACGATCAAACAAACATGAACAATACAACATAAATAGCATCAACTAAACACTAGAAGGAGAACAACAAGAACAAGACTGGAAAGGGAAACAATAGTCATATATCTTATATATATCGATAACCAACATAGAGAAAGGATAGAAGATAATGGGGAACGTCATGGAACGACAGATGACGTACCCTAACACAAATGATTGAGTTTTTTTCTGGTCGATTGAAAGATAAAAAAAAACAAGCATAAGTTGTTACAAGATGATAAGAACCATTATTTGTAAACCATATTATAGCATACCGATAAATTCCGTTCTCATAAGGCTTAATGTAGCATAAATTTTACTATTTGCGTTATTCAGAATAGTGATTCATGCTGCTGGAAAACTATTATTTCATCCTTCTATACATAAGGATATACAAATAAATCTAACTTGAACAATGCTAACACCATCAACCGTAATTATTTTATGAATATATTTTATTGGATTGGGTGTGGGTGTGGGTGTGGGTGTGGGTGCGCGCGTACTTGTAATTACACTTTCTGTTGACACCTAGATCCACACCCACACCCACCCCCACACCCATCATCAATCGAATTAGCTATTCAATCGGAAAAAAAATATTCAAGATCAAAAAGAGAAAAAAGTAAATTTTTTACTACTTTGTTATGTTTTTTGGTTATACATGTTATCAAATTTTTCTTTTTACTGTTATAAAACATGTTATAAAGAATATATTATTATTGTTTTCTACTTTTAACATCAACATTAATTAGCTAATAATCTCTCTTTATAGAATGTGGGTGTGGGTGAAATCGGACCGTGTCTCAAAAACTTTTTTTCGATTTTTGCTAGCACAGAAATGGTCCGAGAATCAGTAGATGATTTGTAGAAGGGGGGCAATAATGTGGTTTTTATTAAGGTTGCGAGGACAATGAACCGTAGGTCGGAGATCTCCATCTCAGATAAATTTCGAAGGATTATTTTGTGAAGTACTCGATTTTCATTAATTCTCTCCGTTGACAATCATAGTGCGAATAATCTGAAGACTCATCTATTCAGGATTGATAATTATGTTAATAGCAGTTTTTGAAATGTAATCTTTCGTGCTGTTGTATTGAAATCTTTTCAGTATTTTAAATTAAACGTGAAGGCGAATCGACAACACTATTAAAGAGTACGATTATGCTGCTTTATTGCTTTCACCAATTCTTGAAGATATTTTATATATGATTAAATGAATCTCGTTTTTTTTTCTAGTTATAAAGTTTTATAGGTTACCTATCAAACTAAAGAAAGCCACTTAATTCGTAAGGTTCTGTTGAAAATGAGATAAGAAACGACAAAATAAAAACTAGAGATTATAAATGGTTGCCTACATTCACTCACAAAAAAGTCGACCGTCAGTAGATGATGAAGAAACAGTCAAACGTTGAATTCATATCTTTTTCTGCATCTAAAGTATCTCCATCAACGGAAAGTGAGCATTATCAGAAGAATCAGATTCTGATTAATTATACTATTTTCTAGATCAACAGCGGCAATCATGTCGATTACATTGGGCCGAATCATCGTGGACAAGATGGATACAGATACCACTATTTTTGTGGGTATCACCTATTCTTTCCCTGGCTAATAAACGTACGCTTGTTGAAGACGATCTTAATGATCTTTCCGCCAAAGAAAAATGTTCGGTATTATTAAACAGAGTAAATCAGCATAGTTCTAAATGGCCAGGCACATGGAATGTATTCATTAAAATATTTTATAAAGACTTTTTAACGAGTATGCTGATTGTTTTTCCATTTAGTATAGCTCGTATTTCACAGCCATTGCTTCTTCGTCAAATTGTTCTCTATATTGAAGATCACTCAGGATTACCCACTTATACGGGTTATCTATATGCTATTGCTCTTTTCATTGCTGCAATTATACAAGCAACCACTCAACAACAGATTATGTTTAGAAATACACGCATAGGCGTGCGAGCTCGTAATGCATTATCATCTGCTATCTATAAGCACTTGTTAACCATCAATACCGCAGCTCTTCACAAGACTACTGCAGCTCAGACGATTAATTTAGTATCAAATGATGCTAATAAATTTGCAGAATTAAGCATTTACGTACATGCTTTATTAATGGTACCTTTTGAAGCTCTTGCAATGTTTGGCCTTATTTGGTGGACGATCGGTTTACCAACATTATTCGGCTATTCAGTACTGTTTTTATTAATACCAATACAGTTCATTTTCAGCAGACAATTCAGTCGATACAGAAAGGCCACAATGGTATGTACAGACAAACGGGTGCAAACAATTAATGAAATTGTCAACGGATGTCAAATTATAAAAATGTACAATTGGGAAAAGGCCGTTGAGCAACGCGTACTTGAGACACGTCAAGAGGAACTTTCAAACGTTCGAAAAGCGAGTAGCGTTAGAGCTCTCAATATTGCTATTTCGTTCGTAACGATACCTTTGATTGCTCTTGCGACATTCGGTGGTAGTTGGTTAATGGGTCATACTTTGCTTGCAGAAAATATTTTCTCAACACTATCATTCTTCACCATGGCTCGACTTCCGTTGACAATTACGATGCCAAATTTTATCGAAAAATTTAGTGAAGCTCGTATTTCTGCAAGAAGAATTGATGAATTTATGCAACTGGACGTATTGTTAAATAGAAGTGAAAAAACGAGAAATGAAAATGATTCTTATGCAATTATGATGGAAAATGCATCATTTTCTTGGAAAGATGCTTCTTCGTTATCTTCTCTCAATCTGACAATTAGACACGGTAACTTAGTTGGAGTAAAAGGTGCCATCGGTGCTGGCAAATCAACTCTACTAGCTGCTATTCTCGGTGAGATCAATCTTGTCAGTGGAAAATCACAAATAAATGCTACATCGATTTCATATGCTCCACAATCGGCATGGATATTTGCTGACACAGTGCGAGCTAATATTCTACTTGGTAAACCACTCGATGAAGAACGTTACAAAAATGTAATAAAAGCATGTTGTCTTGATATCGATCTACAAAATTTTGGTGAAGCTGGTGATTTATTGATGATCGGTGATAAAGGTGTTAATTTAAGTGGAGGACAAAAAGCTCGAATATCGCTTGCTCGTGCACTTTATGCTGATGCTGACCTATATTTACTCGATGATCCACTTGCTGCTGTTGATCCTAAGGTAGCAAAAAATATTTTCGATCAATGCATTGGTACATCTAGTTTTCTTCGTGGAAAAACTCGAATATTAGTTACGCATCAGACACACTTTTTAATCGAAATGGATCAAACGTTTCTCGTAGAAAATGGACACATTGAAGAATTAAACAGTGAACAACAAATTACAATTCAGCCATTGAATGAAACATTAGAAACAGATCCAGCTAATAACAAGGAAACAGATTGGAAACTTGGTACATCTATAACTGATATAAATTCCATTGTGAAAAGTGAACAATCAGCTGACGGCGGCATCAAGTGGAAAGTTTGGCTAGAACTATTTACTGCACCCCCGTTACGTTGGTTTGGCTTTTTGTTTATGATTATTTTAATGTTAGGTAATGAGGCGTTGTATGATTTTACAAATAGTTGGCTTGCACTATGGTCCAATAAAGATGAAAGTGAACAGCGGTTATCATTTTATGCTTATGTCTATCTTGGAACTATATTGGCTACATTGTTTGTTGCGTTGATACGTGTTGGCTTTATCATTTATATTATGTTATGCGGTTCAACCCATTTTCACAATCGAATGCTCAATGGTATCTTGTATACATCATTACGTTTCTTTGAAAATAATCCAAGTGGACGAATCTTAAATCGAGCAAGTAAAGATCAACAAGTAGTAGATGAATCATTACCACTCGCTCTAATTGATACTATGCAATATCTACTATTAGCCCTTGGTTCTATCGTAGTCATTGGAATAGCTAATCCATGGGTACTTTTAATTCTCATTCCGTTGGCTCCTACAGTTTTATGGCTTCGTCGATTTTATATGCGTTCTAGTCGACAACTCAAGCGACTGGAAAGTGTAACGCGTAGTCCTGTTTATACATTGTTCTCAACTTCATTAGATGGACTCACTAGTATTCGTGCGTTTGATGTTCAAGGTAGTTTTTTGAATATGTTCATAGAAAGAATCGATGCAAATACACGAGCTGCCTTCATTCTTACTGCTACTACGCATTGGTTTGGTTTAAGACTTGATCTTACAGCATCATCACTCACTTTGGCTACTGGTATTCTTGCCGTAGCATTGCGCCATCAAATGGAACCATCGACATTAGCACTCAGTCTAAGCTATTGCATTACCCTAACAGGTCTCTTTCAATGGGCTATAAGACAATCAGCCGAAGCTGAAAATTTTATGACTAGTGCAGAACGTATTCATGAATATGGTCAATTAGTGTCAGAAAGCCATCACAACAATGGCGACAACAATGCTCCAATACAACCAGACAGTGATTGGCCTTCTCGTGGTATTGTAGAATTTAAAGATTACACTTTTCGTTATCGACCAGAGCTAGATCCAGTGCTCAAAAATCTTAATCTACGAATTGAATCCAAGGAAAAGATCGGAATTATTGGTCGGACAGGTATGGTTCATTTATTTTAAACAATACAAATGTTACAAAGTCTATATAATAATAACATTTTTTATTCGTTTAGGTGCTGGAAAATCATCACTTCTTCAAGCTCTTTTTCGACTTGTCGATCAGTCAGCAGTCAATGGATCTATTCTTATTGATGACATTGATATAGGCCGTTTGTCACTCGATTATCTTCGTTCTCATATAAGTGTTATTCCACAAGTACCCATACTCTTTTGTGGATCCCTTCGATACAATATTGATCCATTTGAACAATTCACTGATGAACAATGTCTTACAGCACTTGAATCTGTTCAACTCAAATCATTGGTGCGCAACCATCCCGATGGAATTCATATGTTAGTGGCTGAATCTGGTGCAAATTTGAGTGCCGGTGAACGACAATTGATTTGTGTTGCTCGAGCCATTCTGAAGAAGAGTCACATATTGTTGATTGATGAAGCTACTGCAAATGTTGATTATGCAACAGATAAGATGATTCAAGAAGTGATCGCTGACAAGTTTCGTGATCATACTATATTAACTATTGCACACCGATTGAATACTGTAGCCAACAGTGATCGAATTCTTGTATTAGAACAAGGACAGGTTGCCTACTTCGATTCACCTAGCAATATTAACTTGCTTTAATATAATCAACAAGAAATATATCTTTGGAATAAATAAACAAATATAAAATAACTGATCAAAAAGGAAATGATAAACAGTTTTATATAATCTTCCAATAAATTGTATTTCAAAAATCTTAATCAGTCCGTAATGAAGGACATGTTAGTATGATTAGCGATTATTTTGCCATCTATACACTCTAGAATGCTGTATAATACCAGAAACGTAGACAAACAATTTAGAGAATGATTGTACAATGACGCGAAATAAATGATTATTGAGAGAACAATAACAAAAAAAGACTCATTTCTTCATCTTTCTTCTTACGTCAGTTGTTTCTTTCATTAATTTAAAACAACTATAAATGGAAAAATAAAGTCTATATTCGAAATGATGAAAACATTTTCTAGTTCTTTTTTCTTAAGAGAGAAGCTATATATGATGTGTTATTTCTTGCGTTTGAAGGTTTGAGTTTATTATTTATCAATAGCAATTTATTAAAAAATATCTTCGACTGAATTATTACTTTAGAATAAGTCTTATGATTTATTTAAATTGTAACGAATAGAACCAACTATTTCAAACAAGTTACTTCGTATTTATTATCTATTAAATAAACAATATATGTTGTTCATCTACGACTAAAATTTAATCGGGACAATAAATAATATGTATGACCAATAAAACAATACAGATCAGCAATAACCAAGTTTAGCGATAAGAAAATTGACTTAGCAATAATTTATTTAAACTAAAGATAAATATTATACAGGGTGTGGGTGTGAGATGAATACAATACTGACACACATACCCACCCACTCACATCCACACTCAAACTATCATTTATTTTTGTACTAATATATAAGCAAACATTGATTTATTGAAAAGAAATTTTTTATTTTATATAGAATACATTTCAATTTTAAAGTTACTCCTTTACTTTAAGATTTTTAATAATTCTTTTACATGAATCTGATTAAGTCTAATATATAGTTCAACTTCATTGTCTCCATCAATGCTAGGTAGAATGTTGATCATTCCATTTCTTCTTTTGCCTGGTGGAAGAAATACACGTTTCGGTGGACCATGACCAAAATCAATCTGATACATAGGAAATCGAGACCAATTACTAAAGGCAATATCATATTCACCAAACCTATTAAAAATTGGATAAATACTACTATGAGATTTTGTTGTATTGCATTTAATATAAGCCAAAGCTGATTCAATGTATGCTTTTGTCATACATTTTTTTCTTTCTTCATGTACTCGTTCAGATAGTTCGTCGACCGAAGATGATTCAAGATCAGTCATTAGAAATGGAATATATATATAAAAGACACAATTACCAAAATAATTCTCATCAAGTCCCAATATATTTCTTCCATTAGTCGGCATGCCCACTTTGACGATAGTTTTACTAGGTACATGACGAACAGAACTAATAATCTTTGTTAACCAAGCTACCAGAACATCGTTGAATGATACATGTTTACTTGTTATATTTAACATATTAAATAAATCTTGTTTCTTGTAATGTCTAACGATAACATCTGTTTCTACATGTGGACAATAAATTGATGGTAGAAGTAAAGAATCTTCCGAATAATATTCTCGATGTTGATATAAAATTGTAGGTGCTGTTTTCTTTTTAATCAACGAACGATTATGTTCAAATAAGAGTGGTATTTGTTCGCCAGACATCCAAACCGAAAATCGATATATTAGATTAATAAATCCATGACCATCAGTAAGACGATGATGAATACCAATAGCTAAAATCGTTCCATCTTTCAAAGTCAATTGATGAAGAAAAAAGAGAGGTGATTCTTTGTCAGGTATTCTTCCATACGGAAAAATATCAGTATGTTCGATATCTAATGAAGATAATGACGTATTTCGATCGATTGCATGTGTATAAATTGTTGGATGATCGGTTGAATCTATCAATTTATTATCAGAAATTCGTTTGAAAGCACTTGGGCAATAATTATAAAGAAATTTTAATAATGGCTTCTCAAGATCATGAATAACATAATCATAGATGAGAAGTAGACGTGTATAAGAGACAGGAACAATAAAATCACATAACGAAAGTTTTTCATCTACATTTGTAGCAGATGACATTATTCTAAATTAAAATGAAAAAGATTATTCAATTATTTACACAAACTAATTTTTTTCTGTTGAAGTTTATATGCGATAGTGCATAACCTATAATTTTTATTGAAATTTATCACACTAGAAGTATGAAGAAATCATACTCATGTTAACAGTTATTATTTGTAGTATAAATCACCTAGTCTTTTTTTCAGATCGTGAGAACAGAATTCTTCTATTGTCTTACAGTGCATGTGAAAGTGTGTTAGATAATATATATGTATAAAAGTAATGTGAAGCAACCAAAAGAAAAAGAGAAAAAACGACCGAGGTATTACTTCTATATCGTTCGATCAGTTCGCATGGGCACACATTGTTATATTTATTGTTCTATTTCATTTTCTTTGTCGTTTGTATTCTCTTCTTATTCTTCCTTTCGTACACTTATATCTATTTCTATTGTCATCGCTCATTGACCTATTCTTTACCTCTATTTCAAAAAGTATTCGATATCTAATTCTTCGTTTTCTCTTTCTCTCGCCTCATATTCATCGATATTTTCTTTTCTGTATAAATATCTTCGATCATTTCTAATAAAAACAAACTAGAAATATTTAGAAAAAAAAATGAAGAATTAGAAGCATTTCACATGAAATAAATGATCACGATCAAATTGATACCAGCTGAACGACAACAAATGGCAAAAATAGGGTTACCAAACCTCCTCATTTTTAATTCGTTTCTTACTTAAGTTTTGACGACGTTTTATGTACAAAGAATGAGAAATAAGAGAGCAGTCACAACTATATACATATATGATAACAAACTAGGTAGCATCATATATCTCCAATTCTTTGGACAAACGCTCTATCGAAATATGAGATACACCTACGAACAAAAAAATCTATCCCCCATTTTTATTTCTGTTCTATCATACTTTGTATAAAATTTATTGTCTAGTAGAGATATGACTTGAGCGTTTTATTTCAGTATGGTAAAACGATTAGAATGTAATAAAACTTAGAAGTTATATTTCACTCGACAATAAATTTTATACAAGGTATGATAAAAAAGAAACAAATAGAGGAAAGAGTTTTGTGCCTTATTTTATCAACTCTACCAGATATGTGTACGCTATATTAGGTTTTTTTATCGCTAGAAACATGATCGACAAAGAAGAGGCTATTGAAAAATTTCCATCTTTACGGACCGGTTGATCTTGTTAAACTCTATTTGATTCCAGTGCTAGTATAGGTCGATAAATAATGAGTTTACAGAATTAATCAGGAGTCAAAGTTTCAACAACATAAAATTTTGACGATATGATGACAGACGTATAGCAATAATATCAAAAAAAGATGTAGGAGGTGCTTTACTCTGTTCTGTTTCGATTCTTCACCGGTTTCTTAAGACACACTTATATCAGTTTTATTTGTACTTCTCGACGTACAACTTCAAAATAATTAGTAAGATAAACGATGTGTAATTATCTTTCTGTTTTGGAAAAAGTACGTGACACTGCTGTATTTTCCTTCTGGTTTAAAACAAAAAAAACTCTTCTGATTTGTAAAATTTGGATTTGACAACCTTGGGCAAAAACCTTGCAACAAAATAAATCAAAAAGACTGTACAACTACAATGATCATCACATAATGAATTCAGAAATTTGTGAGAGAAGAAACGAAGAATATGGATAGAAAATTGTTTTTTGAAGCTTGTCTCAAGAAGCATAAAGACGTTTTTCGATTGTTTGATAATGTTATATTAGAACACTAAGTTCATACTGATAGAGATGAGATAAAAAAGCAGATGATGGTAATTGAAAATTTTCAATTAGTTCTTTCTGTATATGCTAATAATTATTCCAATTTATTCACCATGAAAATATTATCTTGCGGGTGTGGTTGTGAATATTGAATCGCTCGAAATCCACACTCACATCCTCAATTTTATATTGAAACTTTCTAACTAGCATCATACTGTTTATTTTCGGTATAATCTTTCATGTTAAAAAAATACGATGTCTAATTATAATTTAAACTCTTGACATATTAATATATTTTTGTATTTGATTTAAAAATCTAACATAAATTGATATTGAAAGTGTTTGTTGAAATCGTTTTTTAAATTCATTATTAAAACGATCAAATACTGTCCAATAATCTTGTTGTATTTTACATTTATCAAATAATTGACTGAGATCTTCACCATTCATATATTCAGTTAATAAAATCATCAAATCTAATTTATAATCATGAAGAAATTGTTCAACATGTTTATCAGACCATAATTTTATTGGAATTCTTTTATAATCATCTTGAATTGCATTAAGATGAAGATTAACGGTTGTGGTTGTTGGTAAAATAGATAAAGATATTTCTTGTTGAGAAAGATCGATCATAGTTGAATTTATTCTAAAAACAACGAAAGAAAAAATAATTGAAACAAAAATTAAATATGAATAAAAATACTCTTTTTGTTCAATAGTTTTCATATTAATTTCTTTGATTAATAATTGAATAGCATCTTCAAAATTTTGTTTAACAAAATCAATATATAAGTTTTCAGTACATATAGATTCAAACCAACTATCAAGTTCAACTTGTTTTATAATTAATGGAATAATTATTTTTTTTCTATATTGCGCATATTCAATTATACTTCTACAATTTTCATTTGTTTTATATGTTTCAGACATACACATAAGAATAAATTTCGATTTTTCTATAGTTTGAAAAATTGAATTAGATATAGATTGATCGTCCAACCATATTTTATAATTAAATTTTTCTATTAAATATTTATAAATTTTATAAACTAATACATTATCATTCCAATGATAACTAATCATAGAATCATATTGATTAGTTGTTTCTATTTGAAATTCATATTTTTCTTCTAATTTCCATAATAAACCATCAATGATTTTTTTCAAATTTTCATCATTAGATAATTCGCGGATTTGTATCATAAATTTTTCATTTTTCTGTAATATTTCTTTTGCTTTTCTATTGAATGACATAGTATAAAGACATTCCAGTGCTAATAAACCCATTTCTTTAAATAAAATATTCATATTATACTGCATATTTATTTGCAAATGATTTATTTCTTGTAGAACATTTAAATCACATTCTTCCGTAGGTATCAATCCAATTATTGATTTAAATTTTTCTCCAAGCATATTATTGACTTGTGATTCTATTTCTGTAGATGCTAATACTGAATTAGCTATTGTTAATAGCAAATTTAAACCATCACTTTCAATAAAATCATCTTTCACTTGATCATGCTGTAAATATGCTATTTGAAAGATTTTTTTTAGTTAGAAATAATAGCCGTATTTTATGAAACACGAACTAAAAGGAGTGTTAGAAGTTTGGTGAATTTGGGTTTGAGTTTGGGTATTGAGTTTAGGTTTAGGTTTGGGTTTGGGTTTTTTAATTTGTAGAGGAAACTATTTCGGATACATTGATGGCAATTAAAAGAAGATCCATACTCAAACTCCCAAATGGTTTGAGTTTGAGTTTGGGTCATGTCTAGTTAAAAGTAGAAACTCGTAGCCCCCTCCACAAACGTTACACATACTATCAATTAACATTAATTAGTGTCAAAAACTCGTAGCAGACGCTGAATAGGGATCGTCATAGGCGTGAGTTATGACTAGTATAGATCATGACAAACGCTATTTCTTGTTTCATATTTTAATCTCATAAAGATTGTGCTAACAATATTTTGCAAGTCATATAAATTGATCCGAAAACGTCGTTTTTTTCATATTTATTACTCAGATAAATAACTATATTAAAAATTATTGCTTTGTTTTTATTTTAAAATAAATACCTTTTAATGCTATTAATAAATGAATAATATGTACGCCATCATTTGTAAATGTAAAATCATCATTATTGAAATCATTTATTTGTTGAATAGTTCGAATAAATATATTACAAATTTCTTTTGGATGATTTATTTTATTTTTAATATCATTATCATTGATAAGAAAAGTTAAAATAACATAGTAAGAAAGTTTTATTGAATTATTATTTTTAATTAATTGAATCGATTTTAATAAACTATTTTTTATAACTTGATAAGATTTAATAATAATTAAACAATCTTCATCAGTTGTAATAAACATTAAAAGTATTTTTAATATAATCCAAATAATATATATTGATTTTATATCTTTTGTATTAGAATAATGATTTAAATCACAATTAAATTGAATATTTAAATCATTTTCTATATTATTTAAAATTTTCTTATTAATTTATAAAGGTAATATCATTTTTATAATAGATAAATATTCATTTTTTTGATTAAAATTATAAAATCGTATATCTTGTGTCATAAGATGATTTGTAATATTTTCTATTGTTATTTGTATTCGAATTATATTCGTAAGTAAATATTTTATTCCATTTAATGGTAATGAATTTGTTTTTGATGATGATAATAATAATTTTTTTAATATCCATTCATATTTTGATAACCAAAATTTACATAATATATCTCGACGTTCATTATTATAATAATTAAGATCGATTATTGAATTAAAACCAGTAAATAATAACCATTTATAATTATCATTTAATATTGTTCTATCAAGTTGTTGAATAGCTTGTATATAATCATTAATGATATCTAATGAGATATAATAATTAAATAGAAAATTATAAAGTTCATCATTATCATCGCCAACTTCATTATCTTCAGTACAAGATAATGTAAATTTTTCAATAACAGAAATTAATATTGACATAGTTCGTTTTTTTTCTTCTTTACTGAATTTATCTAGAATTATACAGTCTGAATACGTTCAGATTAGTTAGTCAATATGAATTTGTAGTTTGAAAGTAAGTTACAATATACCTGTTAAATTTTAAGATCAATTCATTCAATGACTTAATTGATGTTTATTTATCATGTCTAATTTGTCTATGTTATGAAATAATGTAGCAATTATTTTTTGTTTAAATATTCATATCGATAAAATGTATTCATTTCTATATATCTTCATGCATGAATGAATGATAAGCACATTGCTAACGATGATCGATAAGAAAAAACAACCTCATTGGGCTTATATTTTTTTCGATGAAAATTTAATGTTAAACAAATAATGATGATAGATGCAAATCAATAGCAACGAAATTTATAAGAATAGAAGTATCTTGACTCAATTTTTATTATTAAAATTAACTACCTTTTTATCATTGAAAAAAAGGCAATGAAGACACACCGAATATTTTTTCTGGGACTGTTGTATAACGCTTTTAGAAAAATTGTATTTCTCTCATCGGTAGCATTCTGGAACTACTAGAGGAAGAACTACAAAACTATGGATGAAAAATGGCAAACATATATACTGATTTATACGATTTAGTTTTCATAGAGAATGAAGAATGTTATTTTATATATTTACATTATTTAATTAAAATAATATAATATCGTTAATGGTATCTGTACACGGCGATTTCACTTTCGATATTGTTTTTCCTACTGTGAC